CTGAGGGGAACAGTTTTGATTGCAGAGACAATCTTTATAGAGTCAATGGCTCATTGTCCCAGTACAGTATCAAATCTAAGATCAAATGCATGGTCTCAGTGAGCTTTCTGTGCATTTCCCCACTTTCCTCCCCCAAAAGATCTCCTGATATAGCATGTAGTTTGCTCTTGGGAGAAAGTCTACAGTGACCTCTGTTTTTAAAATGGACTCATGTTACTGATGACTGACTCTTGTTTCCAAACAGATGTTTTCCCCTTTAGGTCAAAGTGATCTTAATGGGGAAATCCATGTTTGCTCATTTACATGTCAGCACTATTTGTATTTGCTGGATAAGAGAAATCTAATCCATGTGAGCTAGAAACAATTATAAACTGTTCCGTTTCCCTACTTTATTCATTTTAGGTACATTGTATGGCATATCAGAAAACTCCAATGAGGAAGAAAAGTCCACTTGCAATACTACTCTTGTACTCCCTTTAATTATTTTCCAGGCTCTCTAACAATGTCAAGTGACTAGGAGTCATGTGTAAAATGTCCCATAATGCTCTAAAAACTGTGGAATTAAAATGGCAGTAACATAGGGGTACCCAGGAAAGTCCTTTTGTTGACAAACCTCAAAACATCCTTCAAACCCTAGTTTACTTTCTGCACGCTCTCATTTAAAGCACTTCCCCCCCCAACCAATGCCTTGCTTGCCCTTCCTTCCTTCCTTCCTTCCTTCCTTCCTTCCTTCCTTCAGAGATCACAGAACTCCATGATAATTCCGAGTGCCATCAATAAAAATATAGAACCATAGAATATGGGTTATATTTGGGTTTGCAGAAATACCATCCCAAGGAAACATAAACTGAAATCTGAAAGGGCACCTACAATAATAGAAAAGAAAGCAAGTGGAGGAGAGAATGAAAGGAAGATGGGGGAAAGAAGAAGGAGAAGAGGATGGAATGGAGAGGAAGATAAGGAGAGAGGGTAGGAAGGGGAAGAGGAAGAGTAGCAGTAGGAGAAAGGTAAGGGAAGAAGGAAGGGGACGGAAAGGAGGAAGGAAAAAAGTAGAGAAGGGAGAGGGTGAAAAGAAAGGGAAAACGAGGTGGTGTTACAACAGGAGGAAAGAATGGTAAATAAAGCAACCCAAACTCCATATTATAACCTATTAAATGAAATGATAAATGTATAAGAATGATAAATGTAAAGAAGAATAACAATTATGTGAATATATACTTAAAATGATACGTAAGAGAACAAAAAATAAAAAAAATTCTGGGAAAAAAAAAAGAAAAACAGAAATGGTGGTAGGAACTTATGATTCAAAGGATAGGAACAGCAATAAGAAGATTCCAAAGTAGAGAAAGCGTGCTTCCTGGGTCACATCAGATGATATAATTTGATCAATGAAACACACCAACTTTGTCTAAGCAAATAGGCAGAAAGATACCAGAGACAGGTACCTGGCCTTATGCCACAATCGGCTTTTAAGTGGTAACCAACACTTTGAATTGCACCTGGAAACTAATTGGCAACTAGTACAGCTCATAGAGCAGAGGTATGCCCATCCCTGCTTGTGCCACTGCACTCTGAACCAACTGGAGGCCTTCCCAGTCCAGGAACAGGTTCAGCTAGCAGACAAGATGAACTTGCATGAAGGCCTTCCTAACCATAACTGCAAATTGTTCTCAAGCAGTAATTGCAAGTCCGGATAAATTCCAAGACTCTTCACCAATCTCAAATGGAGAAGTGCTAACCCATCCAGGACCTAAGATGGACATTCTCCAATTAGGTTAGGTTTGCCAGTTGTGAGAAAAGTGGCTGCAATGAAGAAATGTGAGGAAAGTAAAGTACTGAAAGAAGTAAAGTATTTAAAAAGCAGAGCAAAGCTTTAAATTAGTTTAAAGAGGTGAGATAAAATGTAGAAACTCTGTTTCGCCACCTGAACAGAAGAGTATGTAGAATATACAGTGATTATATACATACATACATACATACATTTATATATACCGTGTTTTCTCGACAGTAAGACAGAGTCTTATTTTCTTTTGAACTCTGAAATAAGTGGTTGGCCTTATTTTTGGGGAGGTCTTATTATTTTTGAGGGGCAGGAGGCAGTGAGCATGTCACCTCATGGCTGCTGCTGTGTTGCAATATTTTCAAGGAGGGTTTATTTTCAGGGGAGGGCATATTTTATCGTATGCGCTCAAAAGCCCAATTGGGCTTATTATCCTGGGAGGTCTTATTTTCAGGAAAACACTGTTTGTGTGTTTGTGTGTGTGTGTTGTGTTGTGTCAAAGCACCTGGTATGCCCAAATATGGGAGGGAGCATACTTCAGTCTCCCTTTATTTATTTATCAGCACAAATTTACACACACACACACACACACACACACACACAAACACACGAAAAAGTATATACTTGTAAAAGTATTTGAACAAACAGTATCAGAACAGCACTTGATTATAAATGGAATATGAAGTTACAGTAGAATATGGTTTCAGTAATAAAAAATACAATTTTGAGACTGAAGGGATTAGGAATGTGTAGCTTTTAAAAGACAAGACTGGGAGAGGTTATCAGAGCACTCTTTAAATATCAAGCATTGTTCTCTATCATCCCAGAGTACTGACTGGAAAATAATGATCTTTACTGCAAGACTAATTCTAGTCAAACGATAAATATTTCTGAACATTAGGACCAGTTTAATATGTAATTAGATGTCATCAGAGAGATGGTGTTTTCATTTTCACTGAATGTATCCAATAAGAATCTAGACAATCCCTTGACATGTGTGCTTTAATTTGGATTCTTGCCTGAAGCAAGAGTTGGACGCTTTCAGTCTAAATCACCTTTTCCAGTGTTATGATATTACAGCCTGGAATGGTATCCAGAAGGTTGATCCTCTTTTTATATGCATCGTTTCCTAAGTGGAGTGGAAAATCTTTTGCTGCCTCTGATGGATTCAGATGTGGTAGTCATAAATTGAAAGGGGAGGGTTATTCCTCCACTCCCATGCCCGGTGATCTTAATCCAGGTTCAGCATTCATAGTTACTTTTGAGTAAAGATGGTACAGGGAGCATATTTAGCATGCCAGAGTTTTTCCTGTGTGTATTTGTGCCTGATCCTGAATCAGTAAATACTGTCTTTTGTGAGAAAAACACCAAATGCAGGAAATTGAGGTTGCAGTTACTAATCTTGAAGGGATCGCAATGAACAGTTTTTTGTCATGAGTTCATTCAGCCACAGTACTTGTTCTGATAACTGTGCTGTTTTTGAATTCAAGTGTGAGACCATATACTATAGGTCAAGAGGAAGTGCATGTCCTCTTGAGAAAATCTGACAGTGCAAGGAAAGTCAATGGGAAAGGAATGGGAATGGATGGGCTTCATTGCTGGAGATTTCACAAAGTAGCAGCCTGGAGGCCTGAAAATTGTTTGACTCTCAGAATCGGCTCTGATGGATCAACTCAGGAGCTATTTTTTTCATTTCATTCATGACCCCAGAATCCCTTTCCCTTTGATGTGTTCTTTACCAAATTGTTAAGGCAGACCCATCAGAGGGATCTTACAACAATGGCAGGAAAATTCACACATTTGGTTTTAGACCAGCAAGGATGGTTTTTAGAGCAGCCCATTAAAATCTCTTTTATCTTTTACATGATTTAAATGTGCTGATCTGTTTGATGCTTCCTTTGGAATGACTGTTCACTGGTGAAAACTTTGTTCAAAAGCCACTTACACCATAAACTAGGAAGCTGAAATGGGGAAATACTTTTAGTTTTTCCAGCTGTTTCCTTGTTGACTTTTAACTTGTGCACACATTGTTATTATTTTGGTAAGAAAGCAAAAGGAATTAATTCTTGATTGCCCAAGAACCCTGGCATTTCTTTCTCCATCAATCTCATCAAACCTCATTCCGTGCAAAGGGCTTTTGCAAACTACTGTGAAATAGTCTTGATTGCCAGAGTTAATCAGAGCCAAGAAAAATTTAAAGCTGCGTTTACGTAATTGTGCTTGTATGAATGGATCCAAGAGAAGGAAAGAAATATTTGCCTCCAGACATATAGTTCAGCGTTAGACTAAATGGTGCTTAGGCAGAAGGATGCTCTTTAGATAGAAGCATGCATTACGTCAGTTCACAGTGGGGGAAGCCAGCCCAACTGTTCATGTGCTTTACGAGTCATTCTGAAGAATGAAGCCAAAATATTGCCCTGATAGTTCCACTATTTCTATTTGTCTTAAAGATGAAACAATTTACTGAAATTATGTTATCTCCAGACATGTTTACTATGAATCGATGTAATACAGCCAATTTTTCATTGGAGACTGAGGATAGACTCCTGTTGAGTCACAAAGCTCTCCTTGGCTGGTTACCCTTCCTTATATTAATGTACCATAAAGCACTCACAGGGAGAAAGGGAGGCTGGGATTTACATGCACCACTTGGGATTGTTTTATCCCAAGACAAATAAATAAATAAGTGCAATGTTTTATTTAGAGCCTTATGTTTTGACATATTAGGTCCAATATAGGAATCCGAGGTGGTGCAGTGGTTAGGGTGCAGTACTGCAGGCCACTTCAGCTGACTGTTATCTGCAGTTCAGCGGTTCTAATCTCACCGGCTCAAGGTTGACTCAGCCTTCCATCATTCCGAGGTGGGTGAAATGAGGACCCAGACTGTGGGGGTGATATGCTGACTCTGTAAACCGCTTAGAGAGGGTTGAAAGCCCTATGAAGTGGTATATAAGTCTAACTGCTATTGCTATTGCTATTGCTATTGCTATTGCTATTGCTATTGCTATCCTCAGACAATATTGTCATTAATATATTTAAAGGGGAAAGGTGAATTGGCCCAAGGAACCTAGGTAGATTGGTACTCCTAGTCTTCGAATTCCTCTGAATCCGGCAGAAAGATTGTGATGAATGTTCTCGTTTCTATTTGTTTTCAGGATGGTTTGTTTTTAAAGGGCTTGCTTACATCTTTCCTCACTTTTGTTTCACTTCTTATTTGCAGGCAACATTGAATATAGTTGTCCAGCTACCAATGAGTGTGAAATCACAAAACGGAGGCGCAAATCCTGTCAGGCCTGTCGTTTTATGAAATGCCTCAAAGTGGGGATGCTGAAAGAAGGTAAGGTGGGCTGCATTGCGCTTTCTGTCTGAATATAAAAGTGAAACAAATTAAGAGAATGGATGAAAAAAAAAGCAGTTCAATTAATCTGATCTCATTGTCTCTCAGAATGTGGAGGATCCAAGGTCTTCAGATAACGGAACAAATAGGGCAGGGGTGTCCAAACTTGGGAACTTTAAGACCTGTGGACTTCAACTCCCAGAATTCCCCAGCCAGCAGCATTCGCTGGCTGGGGAATTCTGGGAGTTGAAGTCCAGACATCTTCAAGTTGCCAAGGTTGAAAAACACTGATTTAAGTTACAGTTTGGTTATTTTTGTAAACCACCATGAGTAAAGTAAATAAATAAATACTGTATAGAAACTCACCATAGAGAAATCATTTTCTTGGCTTTGCTGTATGAAGTTGATGGGGGGGGGAACTTTTTTCTACAGATTCTGTTTCTCTGATGAGCAGGCAAAGATCTCATTTGTGAAGCAGCCTTCTCCAGCCCCATTTATTATTAGGGCAATTCCTTTATTAAATCCGCCACAGAATACAGCGTGCAAGCTATTGAGTCCTCAGGGCTTCTTCATCTGCAGCAGCAGGTGTGAAGAGGAAAACAGGTTAAAAGATGGATGATGTTAGAGTGATTGAGTCTCTGTATTGTTGCTCTCAAGATGCAATGAGTGAAGAGGTAGCAGCCATTCAAATTAGGCTGTGCTAGATATGGTGAAAGTCTCAGATTTCATCTAGGACTTCCCCGAAGAATACTAAGATGAAAAACATAATTAGGATAGCCCCCCCCCTTTTTAAAAAAAAGTTAGATTCTGTTTCTTATCTGTATCTGTCTTCATCCTTATTTGACATAAGTGAGTACTTGGACAGAAAGGATCAGAATGAAACTAGACCATTTTTGTATTTTAAAAGCAGGTTGTAAAAGTAATTGTAAAAAGCTGCATAAGCTAATGCAATAGAACTTGAGCCAGGTTGCTGTACCCAATTGTTAAATGTCTCCTCAGAGAGAGAAAAAATCTGCTTTCAGGTGATATATACTACGTTCTAAACCAGGGGTGTCCAAAATTTTTCCAAGGAGGGCTAGATTTGGTGAGGTGAAAATGTGTGGAGCCGACTATTCAGCCTGACATTCTTTGAACCATTATGAACTATTTTATGAAAGACTAAACAAATAACTCCGGTGGGTAGAAGAGGCTGCTGGCTGCTTGAAATTTGAAAACAGGCCTCAATTGGCTCCCAGGCCAGACTTTGGACATGCCTGTTCTAAACACACATGCACAAAATATTTCGGACTGAAGCCTGCAGATGTTTTGACATTTGAATGCCAAATTTTGGCCAAGTGAATTGAGGCTGCTGGGGAGGTGGGCAGGGGGCATTTACAACCTCAAACCTATAGTGTGCTTATCTTTGGATTAATAGAATAATGGCAGACCTAGATAAACACAGTTTCCATTTGTCTAAACTGTTCCTTTAAGATACAGAAATACAGTGTTTGAAACATAACCTGATGGTGTTGGCCATTTCATTCTCCCCGCATTAAGATAGTTAGTAAAAAGCTGCAGGAAAATTTAGAAAGTGAAGTATTTTTAAAAGCATTAAAATAAAGTGGAAGAGGAACAGTTCTTTATTTGCCATAACATACATTCTTACCCATGATAGCTATGATTGTATTTAATAACTATATAAAACTGTTTTAGTTGTCATTGAGGCTGTATAGAAAAAAATAAAATAAATTCTAGTGAAAGGAAGAAATACAGGTTCATCGTCTTTAGTGTTCAAAGAATCAGTAATACTCTGTAAAAAAATAAAACCACAACTGCTTGACTTGCTACAGAGGTTTTGGTTTTTAAAGTAGTTGTTGGCATTCCTTCCTGCTTCTTGTAGCTATATTAGAGTATCCACTCTACCTCTCAGGGACTGGAGTGGAGGCTCTGCATTTTCTCATTCTGTATCTAGATCAATCTTTACAGTGACAAAGGAAGGAGCTTCACTTACATGTTCATAGTTCAGAAGTGAATGTTGATATTCAAGTTAATATTCCATCTTTCTCTTGTCCAGAAACTAACCTATCAAACTATTACCTATACTTGCCTTTATTCTGAAAGGCATGCAGAAAGTTCTATATACTACAGAAAATGAAGTGACCCCAGACTATAGGATATCAGTTTTCCACATTGTCTTGTTATTTTCTAGTTTTTTTTATTTAAAAAAGTTGTTTCTCTTGTTTCCTAATACTCATGTTTATAATAATGACTGATAGACAATGATACTGACCCCCCTTTTCCCCATGTTCAGTATTTAGGGCTATTTCAAACTCTGTAAATTGGATAAAAATAAAATGATTGTGATCATTTTCATCGGCATCATTGTAGATGTACAAGACCCCAAGAAACCTGCTGCCTCAGACTATGATCCTGTATAATTCAGCATTCTTTTCTCAGCAGATGTCTGGCTGGACAACAAAGCTAAAAAGCTGACATGAATGTAATAGTATCACACAGATCTGTACCTCAGTGAAAGACATCCTGCCTTGTGCCTTCTTTATTGGAGGCAATATATAGCCAGCATGACTAGAGCCAACAAGATTAGCTTTAATTCTCCATGAATTTGTTTAATCTCTCCATATAACTCTCCTAAATTTATAGTTGACAATGAATTATATGGGATCAAATTCCAGAACATTTGCTATAAATTCTTTATTGCATCATTGTCTGTCAAACTCTTCAGTTTAACTATCTATTGCAGCTGAATATCACTAGCTATAGACCTTAGCGATATCTTTTGTTATATATTTTTATTTGGAAAGGTAGAAGAATGTTCAAATCTAAATTCAAATTTCAGAAAAAACTATTGGTATTCTTAGGTCTTATTATTTATTTTTTAAAAGTAGCTCTTGACACTTGCTCTGACGCATCCAGTGGAAATCAACATTTTTTCATACTTGACAACCACTCCCCCACACACATTTAATAACACATGCACCACAGCCCTCCAGCCCCACGCATGTATCATCTACATATTATTGTTCACTTACTGAGGAATAATTTTTGACATCCCCAAAGAGAAAAGACGGAAGATAAGGATCGTCATTTTAAATAGGGTCAATGGAAGGTAAAAGGGGAAAAGTAAGGTTCCAAAGGGACACTTCAAGACTATGAAAGACTACCCTTGTGATGTAGATACTGGGGCTTAGTAGAGCAATGCAGAAAGTGAATAAGAAACAGGCAGGAAGGGACAGAGTGAACGATCAATAGGTTTCTCAGATATCGTGGCTGTTTTCTTTAAGAGAGCCCCTATCAATGCACTATAACTAAAAGGATGTATGAGCAGAGCCATCTCAATTACTTCCATTCTTATACTGCAGAGTAGAGATTCACTGATATACCTAAAATTCTTAGTGGAAAAACTACTAAATTCTGAGATATAAGTCCAGAGCACATGTATTCAGTATGTTGGTTTTTAACCTATAGTTAATCATCCTTCTCACAAAAAAAAATGTCAGTTAATGTTCCTTCAGAGGCTTTAAATCTGTAGAGATTGTCCAAAGTGACATAAAGTGTTTTTTGCTGAAATACAGTTTTGCTCTCAGAAATCACCCTGGAGGAAAAAAAATTGGTTCCAGATTTTGGCCAGGAGAATTTGACCTTCAAGCATGCTTGAAATAGGGAAGATATGTTGGAAGACCCTAGTTATTTGTTTTACAAATTCTGATATTATTTTAATAAAACCAGGAGAACACACTGAGATCAAATGTCATGTATGCATATTTTTTTGTTTCAGTTCATATTATGCTGAGGCCATTCTTTTGTGATCTTAAACTTCTGAAGTAGTGGTGAAGAAAAATGCTACTCTGAACATTTCTTCTGTGTGAGAGAGAGTTGCTGGAAAGCTTTGAATACCTTAGATAGTTTTGAGCAGTTAGCAGGCTCAGGGATTGCAATGGTCTCTTGGCAGCTTATGCAACCAAATCCTACAGTCTGGGAAAAGCTGTCTTTGAAAAAGGCTGGACATAACCTATATTTGCAAGGCGCTGTGGGAAATCCAATGAAAAAGAAGCAGGAGGAGGGAAGAAGGAATCATAATGCCAGAAAGTCTTTTAAAATGTTTACCTTTCCAATCCATCACCCAGCTCTCTTTTGTGGACCACTTAGTCTTAAGGCGAACCCTTTGACTTGCAAATCTTACTAAAGAAGCACGTCCTTAATTTTCCAAAATGTCCGTATACATTTGTAATGCTCATATTTTACATTTGAACCAAAGATGCTCAAGTTCAGTAGCAAGCTAAAATTCAGGAACACCTATTGGATGGAGTACAACGCAATCAGCCTAATTATTATACTGTTGGTAGTTCTGTCTCATGAATAGCAATCAGTTGCTGTAGCCAGTAACTTACCGCCAAAGATATTTCCTTTAACAGAACACAGATTATGAATGCAATATGAGTTTGTGTGTTAAGGGTTTTTACCTAGACAATTATGTAATTTTGTTTTTTTTTAAATTTATTAAACAATTTATATGGCTATCCAACTCATACACATTGATTCCACGAAGCCTGCAAAATTAATTTTTTTTAAAAAAAACTAAAATTAAAAACTTGTATTGGAAGTGCAAGAAAACATCAAAATACCTTATTTGAAACTGTCTTTGGGGAATTTGACATTATCTTCTGCCTTTACCACATACTGAAATCTCAACCCGAGGTGGCGCAGTGGTTAGGGTGGAGTACTGCAGGCCATTTCAGCTGACTGTGATCTGCAGTTCAGCGGTTCAAATCTCACCGGCTCAAGGTCGATTCAGCCTTCCATCCTTCCGAGGTGGGTGAAATGAGGACCCAGACTGTGGGGGCGATATGCTGACTCAATTTGCTAAAAAATCTGTAAACCGCTTAGAGAGGGCTGAAAGCCCTATGAAGCGGTATATAAGTCTAATTAATAAATAAATAAAATAAATAAACCCCCTTAAAGAGTTTTTGCTGCCCATAGGATTTTTGTGTTTGAAACAGGAT